AACGCACAACTGCGTGCCCAGCCGGTAACCGTTCATCACAACAAGATGAGACCATATAAGGGGCCACCTCCGGTTGGTTACGAAGATGAGGTTTACGTCCTGACCGAAGACAAGAGACCGCCGGTTAGGAACCTCAATGGGAGCTCATAAGTGGTAGCACCGGGGACGGCGCTAAAAGGACGAGGGGGCTATGTAATACTTATGTTGTTTGAATTTGCTTTTCAGGGAGGAGGCAAGCAAAAAAAATTCGAACCTTGTAACTGGATCGCCCCCTCCCTTACCTAGTGACTGCGGCTCCCCTCCTTCTTGAATATTGTATTTTCCCTATACGTCTTGTCGTCTTTAATAAAGATGTCCAAAGCAAACCAACCGGGCTTGTCTAGGAACGCTAGGAATCGGGAAGCGGAGACCGAGGAGTCTCGCCCCACGTAATTGTGCCTCTCTCGCAGGGCAATTATCGCGCCATGTGCTGGATTCCATCTCACCTCGACATTAACAACTATCGAATGCCTAACTTTTGCAGCTGGATTCACTTTTACAACAATACGCTCCACTGCTTCTGCGCTGAAAGCAATAGGGTGCCCGCTTAACCTGTAATACCCAGATCACGTTATTTACATTACCTCCCTATAATCACTGGAGGTACCTTCGAATGCTCTAGAAGATTTAGTCCAAATGCATCATTCCTTTACCATGCCCTTAAATTACTACGTTAGAGGCTAAGAAGAAACAGACATATTGGTCTTTATATCTAGCTACGAAGAGCATTGAAAAAGTACTTACATTTTATGTATGCACTAACTACTGAGCAGTCTAGTACGATGTAAAATTAGGTTAAAAATCGGCCTTACAAACGTTTACACATATTACTTCCTGGTAACGGGTCAGCTTTTTACTATTTTTGAGTTACTTTAGATGCAGTGAAAATATGATCGTGTTTTATTTACATCCACCAGTTGCTAGGGTTGTGGGCGTGCTGTGGCGGGCTTGCGGGTGGGAGGCGATTTCGATTACTGTGGGGCTAACCACCTATAATTCCACATGATCCTGCGGTACTCCATAAACCCACCAAATGCGTACAATACGATGTCTAGCTCCGGTGAATGTTCTCGATCAAAGGATCTGAATTTGGAGATAGGGGCTTAGAGACTTCGCAAATGTTGCTCTGGTAGTAAAGTGGAGTGAGTATCTTACATTCAAAACTGGAACGAACTTTAAGCTGCTGATGGAGCCGATCGAATTCAGCCACCAATTTTGAGTCGGGTGTCGAGGAACGCAACAGATGTTTTGTGCGTCTCCTAAGGTCCCTTTTCATTCAACTTGAAAGGCGGAAATTTCGGCTTGGCAATTTCAAAAAAAAAATCATTCAACGGCTTGGCTCAACTTGTCTTCTATCAGGACGAGCAGAGGTGAGTAGAAGTATCTTCTTTTTTGTGACCAGTAGGTAAGAACCATAAAGAGCAGAGTGCAAAGAATTCATAAGAAGTGGCAAATCCCGGTTATCCCAGCCAACATCCAACAATTTGGGAATAGGCTGGTCTGTATGAAAACAAGGGCAATGTTAAATTACTCTTGCGCTTTTTGGCTGTGGTTATCTGCACAATGCTACAAATGCAGGTGAGTCTTATTTTCACCTATTTTCCATACTTTCATACGACCCACATTCGTTCCCTCAAATCCCAAGCAAATTGCATGGTCATTTATGCCATTTCTTGTTCGACCGTCGTGTGACCAAGTCAGTAATCAATCTTGGAGCTCTCAGTTCCCAGAAGTAGATTTGTTTTCTAATGCTGAAGAGCCCACTCTTAACGAATGGGAAGTCGAGGTGGACGTGGCGACGTCATTGTTCTGGGCCAATTTTCCACGTAGCGCCAAGGTTGTTCAGAATCTTGCAGATGACACCTCTACACGGCGTGACACTGAGACCACGGTAGTTATTCTGTCATTGAAGACAGGTGGAGATGATATGCAGACTGTATTTTTGGAAACCGCGGTGATGAGTATGGCCAAATTAGGCGGTCTTTGTTCTGAGTTGACTCATCATAGATCTTACCGATTGATTTGGTAAGCAGGAAGCATGGAAATATCCGGTTGTGAGTCGGCCGTAGAAAGCTTATCTCAGCAATAACGAGGACTGGCTTTTCCCCACATCTACCCTATACGGATTAAGGTAGCTCTCTATATTTGATTTAAAAGCGAAATATTGGTAAGTGAGGCGTATTGCCTAACGGGATTTAGGAATTTCAGACGGTGTTTTTCCACTATGCAAAGGGAGAAGGGGGTCACTTTGTGACGCCGTACGATATCTCTCCTGATTAATGTATTTCCGAAATATTGTGTAATGTGTCCACATGGCACACTCGTTTTCGGTAAAGGTGTTTGGAGGCATAAGGGCAATTTGGAAGTAGTGTCAGACCTGTCTGATGACCAGGGTTTGACTTTGAAACTAAAGAAATGCCCGTTTCTGCAATATTTAATCCGTATGTAATCTTTTAGAGACAAACTGTCTCGTCAGATGGGAGCTACATTACGGATGATTGCACAAAGGAAGTTAGGGTCTAATTAACATTAACAACAGAATTTAAAAAAAGACGTAGTGCACATCTATGGTGCTGTTCCGCCTCTCGTAGTGCAGCGATGCATTTCAAGTGATAAGAGTCATCTCACCAACAGATTGCTTGTTCTGCAGCGCCCGTCTCCGCATACAACCAGTCAAGATGCATTACACTAAAGGTGCATCATAAGGTGTTAACCGGCGAAAAGCGGTCCGTGCAGACGGTATGAGGAAACAAGGTCAACGGGGGCACTGGGCACAGTGCTCGAAACAATTAGCATGACTGGCTTCCCTGTATTATGAGAAATAAGATCTTTCTCCACTCAACTGTCCCTGTCCAAGTGTGCGAAGTAGGAGAGGAGTAGGAGAAATGAAAATACCGCACTAATGGTAGCACAGGTGGAGCTTCCAAAACGCACAACTGACATGAAGTGCAAACATTGGCTGGAGCAGGTTGAATTCATCCACTGGTTTCAAACTTCAATGCTAAAACAGAATATACTCTCAGGAATTTCAGATGGGGCCGTGCTTTCCAACAATCCAGCTGCTGATTTGAAGAAAAACGTGGATCAGGCAGCTTCAGTGCTGGAGTTGTTTCAACATTGTTGTTGCTTTCGCTAGCGGGATAACCTGTCCCAAACCGAGTATCTTGAGGACTCTATAGACCTCTATAAAGTCAGGCCAAATTGCTTCGAGGCACAGGACCATGTTGACTGAAATGCAATCCATGTACTCGGGATCCGTGATCGGCTCCATTATCGCCTGAAAAACGTGAATAGGATTGGTATTCGCGACTCAGCCGATCGCTGCTCGTAGTTTCGCTGAAGTATACGACTCTGACCCCGACGGCTCGAATTTGATCGCAGCCGGGAGGCTGGGGAGCAAATTCGTGATCATTAGTCGTGCAATCAGAGGTCGTGATGTTCCAGGCACGCTTTGCAGTGCAAACAATTCAGGATGATACACTTTAAGATGAAAGACGACCTAAAAGAAGAGATCTGTTGAGGAGAATGACATGATTCCTACGCAGGGGAGGCCCTACGGATGTATGCTTCTGTCGGTGGAGCAGTGATAGACGCGAGTGGAACTTTTGGCCTTGGTGATTTGGGTCCAAATGACACAGCTACCATGGTTATCAGCGAGGATGTTGGAATGGGAGAAGACGCATTGCCTTCAGCGTTTATCTACTTCTGTGACGATGGCGATTAGACGGCGGAGAAGGAACCTGGCGTCGAGGACGCAGGCACCCCAACTCGCAACTTCGCCGGCCATTTGACCATTGGTGATATTTCCATTGATGAGTGAGCTGGGTTTCGCACTATTGCATACATTCAATGGATTGATTACATTCGCATCATTCGTCCCTTTTTATTTTTATGAACTGGCTTGGCGTATTTGACAATTTGATTCGCTGATTGTTTTGCATTGAGGTTTCTCTGTGCGAGAGGTTTAAATGCGGATGGGGCCACCAAAACGGATGTCTATTGAACGACGTATGTAAGCACGGAAGAGATGGCGTGCGCATATAAGCCTGATGGGTGGAGTCTGAATTCGAGTCGGTAGTCGCACTTATGCGTATCTGTAGGAAATGAATGATTGACCTCAGCCTTCGAGTGGTTATCCGCATCTTAAAGTAGGTCTGTGCTCAATGTGAGGCAATCAGGAAGGATTAAATTAGAGTATAGCTGTCATTAATTGGCTACTGATGGGAAATTCATAGAAAGTCGAATTGTGGTGACATCCACAGCATCATTCCACTGCGATTTGTGAGTTCGGACCACCGATAGAAAAGCGATTGCTCCTTTGCTAAGATGATAGTGAATCAGAGCGATTTACCGTTTGTTGGGAGAAGATACCAGTGGTTGACTCTTGATTGTCCACATAGTGGTTGGAACTTGCTGCGTTCGTCATTCCCCATCCTCGAGAGATACGAGGACTTTGGTTTTGCGGGACAGGAAGGAAGCCGTGAATGGGAATCTGTGTTGAAAAGACGCAGCGCATCCATTAAGTTTGGATTGCCTAATGATCGCATCTTGGATTAGGTGAATTGCTTGATTTGAATATATTCAGAATATTAATAACTTCCCGCAAGCGCATGTATTTTAAACCATCTGGCAGCCGATTGTTTTATATTTTTTCCTCATTTCCACTATTTTTCCACCTCATTCCTACACGGCTACCCGTACGGGTCAATTTTCGAGCATTTGAGATCGTGCAAGGTCATCGGGGCCCTTAATGAGACAATACTTTTGCCCATTTCATCTTTTTTCGCTTGGTGAAAATGTGGTCGTCGCAATGACAGCAGCACAACTGGTTTGGGGCGCAATTTCATCACTCACCAAGCCCACCTTCCGCGTCCGCGTCCGGCTCCTTCTTGTATTCGGCTTACCACCATCATCTCCCACACATGTCGGATAACGTTCCTTGGCTCCCTTTTCTTGCGCTTTTCATGCGATTTGTGCCCTTCTCCAACAGCAGCAGCGGCGACAAAAGCAGGACTTATTGCCGTCCGACGGAGCGGGTGGTGGGCCTCCTTGTAGTCACGCCAGCGCCCTCGCTCTGATTAGTGAGCCAAAGTAATGCAAATAGTCCGTAGTAAAGGAATTGCGAAACAAAACATCTGTATAAAATGCTGCGTGGGTTTTGTGAAGCGCGCTTTTTATTGTTTGTTTACTCTGTAAGCGCTTTATGTGACGACTCTTGCATACATGTATGGACGAAGGTCCGCAGAATTTAACTGCCTTAGCACTGCTTATATCAGTGATGGCTGCGGGTGCAGTCGCAGCATCAATGTAGTATTGTCCTAGGCCATCAATTAAAAGGCGCTTGTAGGGCCGAAATGTAGTCGTGCATGGACAGAAGATTTGTGCGAGAATTGGGTGGTTCCTCGTGAAGTTGTGGTGTGGAGGATGTGTTGTCTACGTCTTCCTGCTAATTTCTTCGCGAAGAAGTCTCTTGGTGCCGGTGGAGCTGATAGTTGATGGATTAGCCCATCAGCGTAGAGTGAACGTGGAGCAGTGATTTGCAGTTCAATGAATCACGTTGTGACACTTTGACGTTCTGTATCTGGACTGACGCCATCGTTTCGTCATTTGACATCAATCAAATGGGGCTATGGGCACGTTCTCTGCATTGAAGTAGCCATCTGATAGACAATTTTCCACCGCTAAGGTGCCGCATCGTAATTGTACAGTTTGAATAAGACGTGGAGATGGATGGATGGATCGACAGCCCTTCCAACAGCTGAGAGATTGTGATCGGATATGCGTTCGTTAGGCGGCAAGAACAGGCAGGTGAGAATGCGGTTACCCTATGACAGGTAGATCTGGCAGTCACGGGCGAGTTGGGGTGGGTGTATTGACGATCCTCTTACGTTGGCCGGATACTCATTATTTTTGAGTGATTTGTGGCCACATTCTGGCTGATGAAGAGGGTGTCGGGGGGAAGCTCGTATGGCTGGTGCCATCAATTACGGGTGAGGCGGTAAAGTTACAGTCTATCTCGGAGCAATGAGCTGGTGCAAAGTTGTGTGCTTCAGTCCCACCCAGCAGAGCTCCACAACGCGTGCTGCTCACGTCATTCACATCATTCTCAAGTGTCAAGTAGAGGGCCGCCGTTTGAAGCTTTTGGAGGTAGATGCGAGTGTGGTGCGATCGCGCAACCCATCCTTCATTGGTCAGAGGGCGAATTTAATTACATCTGAAGTGGTAGGCACATCTTCTACAGCACTGTCAATTCTCAATCACGGTGAGAAATGCAACACCACCCCCATGTTCACGTCGACGTGACGCCTCGAGTTTCGTTGCTGAGACCGAAGTCGGAGGTGTATGGCGCGCTCTACTCAATGTTCGCTAAACGATTGCACAAGGTGTTGTAGAATAGGTACGCAGGCTACAGTAATTCCACTCTCTACTTCCGAATCAGTGGCAATGCTTGAGTTGGTCATTGGTAGCGCAAAAGTTGTAATTTCTTAACCGCAATACTTCTCAGGCTAAAGGAACTAGTAAATCCTAAGTACTTCTTGCCAAACCCAATTCCATTCAGCTGGACAGGTTGCGAAATTTTAAAGTGATTGTCCTTGACGATGGAGTCCAAACCAGTTAACTTGATCGACCTCTGCATTACCGTCTATCTGCACCCTCTCAAGACTAGTGAGTCCCAGAAACCAACATCTGGAAATTTTAATCCTGGTTTGTGACCCCATTAGAAATCTCTAGTAAGTCCACTGCTTTTAGCCAACCAGTTATCTTAACCTCCCTTTCGATCCAAATGTAAGAAGTTAACGGCTAGGTAGTGGCCTAAACAAATGTTTCAGTGATATCTTGCCGACGACTCAAATAGATGAAGAAAAAAATTAGGAAGAGTACAAAGTAGTAAAAATTTTGAATCTAATCGTTTTCCCCTAACCCGTTCACCCAGCCAACCATCGTAGTCTCTATCATGCCAAACTAGTCCATTTCTCAGTTGGTAGGAGGTGGGATGACCTCGCCTTGTCCCAATTTTGCATTCAGTGCCCCCTGGTTTCTGGAACTCACTGATCTCGAGCATCGGTAGGTTGGAGAAGCTGAGAAGGAGGCTCAAACCACATGGTTTGCATCTCATTGCTGGGGCCATCTATTTTGGGTAGTACTAACTATGTCTATCACGAGTTTCGCCAGACTAACTAATTCCTTGTGGTGAAAAAATTGCTACGTTTGCGCAAGCAGCCTGCCAACTCAAGCACAATTACTGATCGGGAAGTAGGGAGGATGCAATCACGTCTGACAGTGTACTTCTGGATTGACTTCCCTAATTTATCATCGCCTTTACGCCTCGCATTGGGTGCGAGAATGTTGCGCAACAATCAAATAGCGCTGGGAAAGCGTTCTTGGAACATCTAGGTTAGCCAACTGCCAGACGAAGTAGGCTCCAACTCAACCAATCCCCACTTCGCGCAACCACTTTGCAAGCATTCACCGAGAGCACGTCACACTCGTCTGACTTCGATCTCGGGCTCGAAAATCAAGGCGTTCAGGGTGGAGTTAGGGGTGATACTGTTTTTCTCACCATAATTGCGAATTGACAGTGCTTAGAAGATGTGCCTACCACTTCAGATGTAATTAAATTCGCCTTCTGACCAATGAAGGATGGGTAGCACGATCGTACCACACTCGCATCCACCTCCAAAAGCATCAAACGTGGGGCCCCTACTTGGCACTTGAGAATGATGTGAATGACGTGAGCAGCACACGCTGTGGGGCTCTGCTGGGTGGGACTCAGTCCCACGGTTGGTATATCCTAGGTCTGACGCACACAATGTACAACAATTCCATCAACCATAACTGCAGATCCAACTTCACGATATTAGTTGCACGTACTTCTCACTGGTACCTCGTTTATCAACCTGAAAGTAGTTACCAAACTGTCAGCAATCCCGCACCTATCACATGGGTACCCATTAAATGCCTCACAGGTGTCAGTGCAGCTTCCCCTAATTCGCTAGTAAACACCAGAAGGAAGTCAATCACACCTCACTTCACACATCCTCCCGGACTGTAACCTCGTCTTTGAGTAGGGCGCTGGTGGGGAAATTGCACGGAGGCATCGGTGATGGGGTTAGTGTGAATGAGCCTCTGAGGCATGCAGTAATGTCGAGGCGTCTCGACGTTGGGGCCTCGTCCATCCTTCAGGTGGCTAACTCACTTAACATACTAACGCGCTTTCAGCCCCCTTTTATTGCTGCCAAACGCCGCCTCACCCAATGCGAGGGATGTAAGCGACTATGAGGTGAAGGTCAAACAAAGAACCCAACTTAGATACCGAGTTCTTCGGTAGAAAATGTCAGAATGTCATAGATAGTGTGTCACGAGGCGAACGTGCCAAGTTAAGTTTATCAAGCAGCTTAACTGCCGGCACCACTGGGATCAAACGCATTTTTTATGGAAGGCACTGTTGGGACAGGAAAGTTTTGCGTACCCTCACCCCTGCATGGCAACAAATGTCTTCATTTAAAGGACTGTTAATGTAAACACATTAAAATGCGTGGTTCAAAATGGAGCTTAGCGCCTTAAATCGGTGCTACGCTTCCCATTTCCATGACTTTGGACAGCTGATGGACCTTTTGCTCACATGTCAAGGCGAGAGAGTTCGCGCAACCTGGAAGGGGCACTCCACACACTCCATCGAAGGGCTGTGGGCCACGCTGCTGTTACTACTGCTGTTAGAGGAGAGCGCCATCCTCCTGAAAAGCGATAGAGAACGGGGAAATGAGACTTTGACCGCTGGTGTGGGTATAGGTGGGAGGGGGGGATGGTGATGCGAAGACGAGGAGGAGGAAGTAAATGTAAGGGCCATATTTTCCCAGGTGACGAAAATTGCGAAATTGTGAGCGAGAATTCTTACGTCCTTGGCGTCAGGATTCTTTCTCCACTATTCAATTACCATCGTCGTCGTTCTTGTCGACATCGCCAGCAAGCACATTGCGTCGTCTCCCATCTAGAAGTTGTCGTTGATGAGCATGGTAGTTGCGCCATCCTGGACACAAGGCACCACCTTCACCGCTTAGATTGGAGAAGACCAGAGTCCCACTTACGTCTCTCTTTGCTCTGTCCACTCTACCGTCCTTCAAGTGAAAGTGCATCAACTGGAACTGTTCACACCTCGAAGCGAGCCTGCAACAATGCTACTTCTGATTGCATCTCTAATGAATTCGGATTCGCTGCCGACTCTCCCATCTTTGATCAGAGTTAAACCGTCGAATTCAGAGTGGCATGCTCCGGCGTCACTACGTGCATTGATCCACGGAGTTGCTAACTTCGAACACACTGATGTTCTTCAGGTGACAATGGAGCCGATCAAGGATTCCTCGTACATGTGTAACCCTTCAGACACCATATTGCTGCAACCTACAATTTTTCACATTGACTTCGTGGAGGTTTATCAGGTTCTCGGGAGGAGGAGGAGGAGGAGGAGGAGGAGGAGGAGGAGGAGGAGGAGGAGGAGGAGGAGGAGGAGGAGGAGGAGGAGGAGCACCGACATCATAGTCGTGACGCCTATTCTACAACACAGTCGTATCACAGTCGGCATCCTGACGACACGCTGCTACTTTGAAGGTCCTCTAGATAATTACAATATTCATGCAAGCGTCGTTAACTTTTACGAGGCGCGGCATTTGCATTGTGGTGCGTCTCGCTTTTTCTGTTCTCTAGCAACCTGCAAAATGGTACTGCTGCGCCACCAAACGGCACATAACTTTCATGGCCTTCAACCGAACCAAAGATCAATTATGCGTTTTTTTTAATTTTTGTCGGAAATGTCTGACCACTGTAGAAGCGGTGAAGGGTTTGGGTTGGGCGGTAATTTTACGCACCACCTCCTTGATTGGGCTTGGTACTCGCGTAGATTGCGTTGTGACGACACTTTTAGACGCCCTCTTGCGAGGCTGCACCACCCACGACTGCATCAATAGCGACAGTAGTCGCTGGAATAGCTGTGCAGTTGAGCATATGCCTAAGCACCCTAAATGCTTCATAGCACCCTCTCTCCCACCTTTTAAATCTGCTTTTTCGTACGTTTACGCAGTGGCCTTGTAAAGCCCGCCAAAAAACCTCAACAAAACTTCCGACCGTAGCCTCTCGAGACTAAAAAACTACGCTACCTGGATGGGCTTCCTTCTTGTATGACCGTGTGACAGGAAGATCAGGGCTTTTAACTTTCCATCGCCTTTTTGTCTCGCACAACATCAAGGGGTGTTGTAAACGCATTCTCAGGTTGGGTAAATCGGCAAATGACAAGGGGACAGTCTTCCACTGATCTGATGTTAGGTCATTGCTACATGGTTTAGTGAGGCATGCAGACTATCCCGCAGTCACTGCACGTGGCGTCCCGAGTCCAAGTGCAAGGTCGCAGTCTGACGCGTGTACAATAACGACGGTGGTTCTGTCCCCGCAACCCCGCGATCAGTAGTGCGGCGGGTTGGTGGCGAAAGCGTTGCGATTTTCCCTTCGCAAAGGTAATCAAGCACAGGAGACCAGCGGGGCCTGAGAATGACCCGATAAAGCCAACGGCATTCAGCGGAACAGATTTCTCCCCACAATCACCAATCCACAAAACATTGTCCTAGAACTAGATCCCACAAGAAAATCGTCAAGTCGCTGCTTACAATCGACCAAGCGACCTTTTAACCCATTTGTGACAAGTTAGGGAATAAGTGAACAAACAATCTTTAAGTAATATCATATCGATGACTCAAATCGTTAAATATAGAAATCAGAAAAAGTATATAAAATATTAGAATTAGGAATCCAATTTCGTGTTAACTCGTTCACTCAGTTGACTGACGTAGCTTTTCCCATTCCTCATTGATGGATTCCCCCTTTGAGGGGGTGGCAATGGCCTTCTCCCGTCAAGGTATCGCATTGGTGCAACTCCACTGCCACCATACTTCTTCAACGGGACCTCATTGTCTCGTGGATGGATAGAGTTTTTTAGTGGCGGCCTCTCCTCCTTGGGTAAAAAGTAAGGCGGTGGATCAGTCACATCCACCTTGGGGGCGGTAAAACTCAGCTTAATCTTCGGCACTAATTTCTGGAGAGTTGAAAACTCGGTCAAAGCGTCCTTCAATCTAGCCACATCGCTAGCATCATTATTGGCGTGAAGGAATGCATTCACCAGCCACAGTCGTACGGCCACAGCAGACGGCGTCTTCTCACACTTCAAATGAGCAGCCATGTAGACGAGTAGGGCAAGCGAAGGAAATATTGCATAGTTCGGAGGGAAACGGTTGTAAGCGGCAGATGAGAAATCGGGTGTTCCACTGCCCTCTTGCAGTGCAGTGAGAAGTCGACAGAGGGACACATAGTGGTCATACATCGTCATCAACTCCAACGCACTGTGCATTAACTTTTTCTCCACCGCTGCATTTGGAAATGCACCACTCTCCTTCATTTTTGTTACAACTAACGACTTTAGGGTATCATAGTGCTCTGCCACAACTGGCACACCACACTTTACATTGTAACGCGTGGCCACTGCCAAAACTAACACTGACAAAATCAACGGGCACTCAGCAATATCACAGTCCCGATGCTCCACCTTTTCCTGGTGCCACAGAACACACGAAAGCACCAAGGCAACGCTCCAATCAGGCACGTCTATCGTGCGATCAAGTCCAATAATGGTGTGAATAAAGTCATCCACCGTGCAGTTGCGTGGTAATTGCATGGGCTTTACCTCCACCATGTACGTCTTGAAACGAAAATTCCCCTCATAACATATCTCCTTTGCATGGGGACGCAGTCCCACCAGTTTGGAGCTAAGGCCATTTGCTTCTTCCACTCCCATTAGCAGGCAGTAGTGCACGTAGCGTAGGATTCTGCTCGGCCCATAAACATAGGGCAATTCAATAAGGTAATCGTTATTGCAGATGAAAACCACCCCAAATTTACTGTAAAGTGGCGCAATAAATAACCTCTGCAGCGTATTAGAGCGATATAAATGAACTAGCGCAGCAGGCCAACGATAGAGAAAGTCAACTGGACGATCCGCTGGCACAGTACCTTTCAACAGTCCAGCTGCCGTTTGAAAGAAGAGCATGGGTGAAGAAGGTCTTTGGTGTGGGTGCTCCTTCTCTTCCTCAACCCTTCTTATTGGTGCTTTGATTGGCGGAATCCATTGCCCCAAACCAAGTACCCTGAGGACTTTAGAGGCCTCCACAAAGTCGGGACAAAATGTTCTTAGGTACAGCAATATGCTGCTTGAAATATAATCTATGTACTTGGGATCCGTGATCGACTCCATTATCGCCTGAAGGACGTGAATGGGATTGGTTTTCGCTACCCAGTCAATCACCGCTCTTAGTTTCGCTGAAGTATACGAATCTGATCCTGACGGCTCGACTTTGATCGCGGCTGGGAGTCGGGGAAGCAAGTCCGAGTTCATAAGTAGTGCAATCAGAGGTCGTGACGTTGCAGGCACGCCACACAGTGCGGACAATTCAGGATGATACACCTTCAGTTTAAGGACGGCTTTACCTTCCTCTTTATCCATACGGTAGAAATCTGTAGTAAGATCGACAAGTTTCATCTCATTTATAGTAAGTGTTTGGATCTCTTCAGGTAGAATGGTAGGACGTGATATGACGTAGTACTGCGATGACATGCTTGCAATTGGACAGTCAAGACAATAGGCAATTCCTAGGCATACGGGCATGGAATCATAACTTGATTGCACACAACACAAGTCCAAGTCTCGAAGACAGTTTGTCACAAATTGACGTGCACAAGGGAAAAAATCCCCATACGCACGGTACCTAGCAGCTGCAACATCGAGATCAGCTTCCTTGTAATTCTTTCTAGATTTAAGATAACGATTTGCAACAGATTTAACACCTAAGCCCTAAAACCCAGTTAATGAATCCAAACTTACGCTTTCATTTGATAATCCACCGAAAATAGGAATAGGTTTTACACCACACCTGAGGATATCTCTTAAACCATCTTCAAACAAGGCTCTCGCGCGTAATAAATCCACACCATATGCACCGATGTCACCAAATTTTTCAAACTTCTTTACACAAATATTCAAAAACTCAATAGGATTGAAAATAAGGTATAGAGACGATGGCGGTTCAAAAACATACGCCTCAATACCGCCAACAAGACCGAGCAACCCCACAACCATCACCAAAATCGACTGCCGGACTAACGAGTCATAAAGCCTTCCGATGGAATCAAACAAGTGTGCGTTCAAGTAAAATATGAGCACGATAAGTTTCGGACGGTATTTTAAATATTTTGTCTGCTTTAACTTGTCCAGCGGTCAAAAGTATGCCCATGTTATTTAATTCAGTTAAATATTTTTGTTAACGCAGAAAACAGGCAAATAACGTAGATATGTGTATACTTCTAGATTTTATTAACTTATTTGGGTAGTATTGCTATATATCTTTTATTTGCCCTACTTTTCCCCATTATGCTAAATGGGGTAATAACTTCGTAAATCAATTTTTATGCTTTTCAATGCTCATTGAAATTGGTAAGTTGAAAAGCCATTATCTTTCCGTCTTCCATTCCAGCTCCGGTTTAAGTGCATCGACAACAGATAATCGCGATCAGATGTAGGCGGCATTGCAATGATATGAGAAGGTAAAACCTTGCAGACTATTTGTAAGCATAATTTACTATCGTCAAATTGAATGCCTCTAGACATGCTTTTACCCTACTAAAATTTATGTCGCAAATAACAGCTGAATTTTTCCGCATCAATGAGGGATAGGTGGAGCTACGCCGAGCCATTGACTGAACTATTCAGGATGACGAGCTTTGATTCCTAATTTTAGCCTTTTATGTACTTTTCCTGATCTCTAGATTTAACTATTTGAGTCACTGACAAGATGTCACTGAAAGATTATTTATCTACATTTCCCCTGACTTATTTTAATTCTGTCAAAAGGTCGCTTGGTTGGTTGGGTGGAGGTAGCGACTTTGCAGGCGCTCTTGTGTGATCTGCGTTCAGGATAGAGGATTTAGGATCCTCTTTTCTGCACCTCACTGGCCTTGATAAACGCGCTCAAGCCATGTGGCTAAGATCTGTGCCGATTAACGTAGTTGGGTCTGGAGAGAAATTTGCAAGGCTATTTTTTCTTGCCCTTGAATGCAATTGGAGTTGGCACGTTGTAAGAATTTTGTGGCTTGCCTGACCAACTAAAGCACAACTGCTGATCAGGCGGTAGACTCTGCTGCAATAACTCTAGCAAGCGCACACTTTATGCAACTCTCAACTCAACCAGTTTGTATGCAATGCTACTTTGCGTAACCACTCAATGGACATGGCATAGGCCGCGTCATACTCGTCTACTTTTGGCCTCAGGCTCGAAATTCGAGAAGCCACATCTACTTGAAGCTGATCTCTTGCATTTTTTGATAATGTTGGAGATGGTATTTATTCTCATTCTGATTATGAATTGTCAGTGCTATAGAAGTTGGCTCTGCTTCTTTAGGTGAAATTTGGGCCACGATTAGCAACATTTTACGAACGATCCATAATAGATTGAAAGATCACACTTTTTTCGCATCAAGCTTTGAGGTTTAAAATGCATGCTTTCCTCTCAACTCTTAAAAATGATGCGGATAAAGTGAGCAAAATGGGCCGAAGAGGACTTATCACCCAGAATTCGTCTGAGACGGACTTTGATGAACAAAAGGTGGCACTAATTGATTATGCTGGGGCCGATTGAAACAATTTTTTCAATCGTGTACTTGGTACCAACTCTATGATGCTAGCCACACGTATCCTTCTCTGACGCCCCGTATATCAGCCGGAATGTGGATGTAAATCAGTAAAGAATCCCACAGCTATCTCACAAGTACTTGCTCAACTCATTACACATGTCGACATATAGTGAGGCAACAGACAGACTCTCTGACCAAACTAGTAAATAAGTGGGATGTCAGCGTCGCGATGACTGTAGCACAGCAACTGTGTAGCAAGTATTCATTACCCAAATCCTACCCTTTCTTTTCCGCCTACTCATCCCCGTTTCCCTCATCCACCTCCATCTTCTCTTCCTTCTCTCACTCCTACTCCTAGTCTTTCCACCAATTTCATTCCTTACTTCCACCCACCTTTAAACTACGCCCTTATACTTCATTTTATCACGCAATTTAAGACACTTGTACTCTTCTAAATTCTCACCAGCATAAAGAAATTTGCTGGGCACTGCGCATGTCTATGGATAGTAGCAGAATCACTGGCCCAAGGGCAGATTCAAATCATAAAGGATGAAATTAGGCATAGTCCTGTGGGGGTGTGGAATCACTTCTAATCCTCCTTGTCGCGTTATTTGTGCCCCGGCGTTACTTAGCCATATCTATCCGAGCTCATGTAGAAAACAGGACTGAGGCAATTTCTATTCCATTATATATCGTCAGCGATTCGCCTATCTACGGCATATGCAATTTCTCCACTTTGCTTAGCTTTATTGCTAAGCATTCAACTTAACAATAGATGTACCTTAAGATACAGTAGGCTTTTCACTGCCACAGGCTGTAGCGCTCCAAGACTGTGTTGAAGGCAAAAGAATTCATAATTGTAGGGAACAACATGTATTGTCGATGTACAGCAGGGATTAAGGCTACTGTCATGGCCCAGAAGTTAACTCGTTTGGCAAAGGTTCAATAGTGGTGAGCAGAAGTGTGCCCTTTACCAGTGAGAATGTTAAGTAATCAAAGTATTAAGAGATCTTAACTTTCCGTTAAGTGTACTAAGGGCATATGTCTATAGCAAAATGATTTACAAAATTTATCATTCATTCCGCCAAAGGGTGTGGACATGAATCAAGCCTGTGCACTTGAAGATATTCGTTTTTTAAAAAATTAAGATTACGATATACCAGCATTCTGTTCACTTTTAACGATGTTTTGGTGCATTATTTCGCTTTGTCGAATTTAAAGCTGTCTTTAAAAATGGAAGAGTCAAATAAAACCTACCATTTACGTTTACACATTTCAGATTGGATTGTTTTGTTTTGATTGATTGGTACGCACGAAAGTATATATGACCGTCAGGACCACCCGATTGGAAGCCTTACCGGTTCGTCAGTCGTAGTGGTTTGTGCGTCGCCATATGAAAGAACTGGTACAGTTAATTTGTAAGTCTGGTTTGTTGACTCCGCTGTAAGTGCTAAGTTGCGTTT